TTATTGCGAGAGTGGTGAATTTTTTTCGAATATTTTTCACTTGAAAAATTTCCAGAAAATGAAAAAATTAAAAATGGCTCCCCGAGGGCCACATCTTACTCATTTCGAATCTTCTGTCGATACGCAACTCAGATCTGTTCACTTCTCCCGGGAATTCCCTTTATTGCGAGAGTGGTGATTTTTTTTTAACAATTTTTCAATTGAAAATTTAATAAAAAATGAAAAAATTAAAAATCACGCCCCAAGGGCTAACTCACCCTGAACATGAATCGCCGGGCGCGCCGTAACTCAAATCCGTTCACCTTTTCACACATTAAAAATATTGTGAGGAATTGATTTCGAACACACAGCCCGCCGTAAGTGTATCTCTACGGTAACCCACGTGCCGTTCTGTAAATGAATGCGCGATTGAGATGTCATGAGAAAGTGAGGTTATGTAATCAAGTTGTATGAGAGTAAAACAATAGCTCGAAATCTGTGCAATTACCTTGACATGTGCGACCGATTAACCGGGTGATGATTTGCTGAATCCAAGTGACAAACAAACAAAGAAACTATTGGCACTCTCACTGGCAATAACGCACGACTTCTGGGTGAATAACACTGGTAAACTCAAATACCACAAGTAAAATATTTCAACACAATGAAAGCGACGCAAGACTGAGGCCGGTTTGATGCTTACCCCCACTCCACATCGCCGATGCGCACGCCACGGCTCGGCCATTACAGTTACCAGTTGGGCGCATGCGCGAGAGTTGGTGTGAACAGTAGAAGGCGAAAACCGAGTTCCCCTGATAACCAGTACAAAGTAATACGCGTTGCATGTTTCTGCATTAGATTAATGTTTTCCCTTTTTTTCATCAAATATACTCCATAATTTACAATACCCTAAGGGAAGGTAGTTGAGTTATTAACGTATGCTCAACACGCTAACAATTACAGTCCTACTTTAGCAGATCAATAACTCTCATATGGACACCCTGACGTTTATCCATCTATATTCATACAAATAACATACTTGTCTCAATGTAGACAAAATACACCCCACACACCTGTAGAGTATACAGTTGAAACTTGTGATCGAAACAATGAAAATGGAGGATGAGCACCCCGCAAGTTCCGTGTTGTTAAATACATTTGTGATAAAGAAAAAACGATGCAGGGTATATTTTCACCATGGTACCCTAATATGGGAAACTGAAAGACCTCCTTACAGTACGTTATTCCACTGTTAAATTCATTTTTATTCATCTGTAATCAATTCGTCGCTTTACATTTTCTTGTCTTCAATCAATATACATATTCGTAAAATTAAATCACGCCACTCATTAAACCTTTATTTTCTTTCCAGTCTGTGAAACATAAGATACACTTTAATCAGCATTACCTTCCCATTCACCTTCGCTTACCTGTTAGCCTTGCACTTTATCCCCTGCAGTTAATTTTACATGAATTATTTATTCTATCCATCAACTAGTGATTATTCAAGTATACGATACCTTTCATAACTCGCCAGGAAAAAAAAAACAATATCCATGTAATAATCAAATTTTGCATGTCACCGAAACAAAAAACTATATAATGAGATACGCCCGTCATCATAATGTTGTAGATTGTCTGTTAATTTTTTCTCATCAAAGTGTCATATGCTTCTTTCAGCACATTCTCATGTAACAACTCCTAGTTGGGCTCATTTCCTTCTTGTTTTCGATGACTTCACGAAATTACGAAAAAATTTAAAAGTGGGTAAATTATCTTAGAACTGACATTTTTCATTTTATTTAAATTATCCAAATGTAAAAAAAATCTTATTACTTTCCCACTGATGCTTTTGGTATCATATTGATTGAGGCAATGGATCTATAACATAAATTGCAACGGTTCTGATATCAATTTGTTTAATTAATTATTTTGTTATAACAAGGAAGAAAAAAAAAATTTCATATTGCTGTCTAATTGTTGTAGCTAGGTGGACTTTGCCTTTAACTGATGCATTAGCTGTTAACTATGGAGACACTTACATACCTGATAGCTGGATAAGAGAAAAAAATCCCACTGTTGTGCTTTCCACATCACCCACCAGTTTCATTCTCCATTATGCAGCACGAGGACCAAACAATCGATGGAGTCATCATAATGTAGTTATGAGCCATACGGATTCAAGACAAGTTGCATCATGGGTCAAAACTATTAGGAATTATCTTCTGAGTAAGCTCACAGCGAATTATGAATAATATATCAATGTCAAAATGTGAATCTACTTACAATCTACATTTATAGACATCTCTTGCCGCCCCCGAAAGATTCTTGTATTCATTAATCCATATGGGGGAAAAAAGAGAGGAAAAAAAATATGGCAGAAAGAAGTGCAACCACTGATGAGAATAACGGGCATCGAGACGAGGACTATTATTACTGAGAGAGCAGGTCACATTACAGATATTTTGCTCAATTCAAATTTAGATGGTTTTCAGGTAATTGACGACACTGTTATGACACCATTGTTCTATCGATTACATGTGAATATATCTTACAATTACAACAGGGAATTATTTGTATTGGTGGCGATGGCACTTTTGCTGAAGTATTTAATGGACTTGTTTTGAGAACAGCCAAGGATCTCCAAATTGATTCAAACGACTCAAATGTACTCTTACCTCAACCGATAATTCCAGTTGGTGTAATACCTAGCGGTAGTACCGACACTCTTGCTTACAGCCTGCACGGAACCACTGATGTTCAAACCTCTGTTATACACATTATTTTCGGTGATACTACTGGATTAGATCTGTCTTCTGTACATGGAAATCATAAATTACACAGATTATACGCCAGTGTATTGAGTTACGGTTATTTGGGTGACGTTATTAAAGAGAGTGAAAAATTCAGATGGATGGGGCCTCAGCGATATGATTATTCGGGTAAAATTTAATCTTTATTAATTGAAATCAATTCTTCCGTTTGCCATCTCTATTACATGATAATGTTTAATCATTTACATTATTTAGGTTTCAAAAAAATTATAGCTAATAAAGGATACGAGGGGGAAATAGAGCTTCTTTCTGATCCATGCCATCCAGCTGCTAGTACTCGATGTATGAAGAATTGTAATCGTTGCATCAGCCAAATGACCGATGAGAGAGGAGATAAACAAATATCAAGTAAGATTTTCCATTAATTCTCATATGAAAAATTATTTATAAATAATGGCATAACTATTTTCCATTCACTTTATAAATATGTTATAAGGAAAGTTGATAGTCAGGGGAAAATTTTTCATGGTGAATGGCGCCAATGTTTCATGTGCCTGTTCAAAATGTCCACAAGGTTTCAGTCCACACTGTCACATAGGGGATGGCTGTCTTGATATAATTTTAGTTCGACATACTTCCTTAATTAATAACATCAGAATGCTATGGAGATTAAGCAGTAAAAGAAAAAATGTGGTGAGTAAATGTATAATTTTTCATCAAAGAACTTTTCTTCAGCTTTATACATTGAATCAATTTCAGTATGATCTACCCTTTGTTGAAGTTTATCGAGCACGTGAGTTTACATTTCAAGCCTTTCCTCAATTGACCTCGAGTGGTACTATCAGTACCAGTCATACCGCATCGACTGTTAGTGTCTGGAATTGTGATGGTGAAGTTCTGGAACATGTTGATGTAAAAATTAGGTGAGAAACAAAAACAACAAAAAATCAGAGTACGCCGGGGCCACACAATACAATAGAAGTGAAACTTCTCATTGAATTTTCACATATTGCAGATTATATTGCACCATAAATATCTCTCTCCTCATTCAGGCATTTCTCTAAAGAAGTTTCACTTCAAAATACGCCAATCATATTCATTACAATCTTATACAGCTAACCCAATTGTGTATTAAATTAATCTCACAAAGGTATCCTAACTAAAAATGCTCATGTTTTTATATGCATAGGGTACACTGTCAATTGCTGAAAGTGTTTACAAGACGAATGCAAGAATCAGTAAAACAATCTAAATGTTTATGCTTTCCATAGACAACAAAAGGGTAGGAATCAAGGTGTCAAAGTATTTTCTGCTATTATTGCATTTTCTTCATGTAATTGGGAGCAAAGCTTCTACAATTGTACTTAGCAACTAGCTACTAGAAGGTAGAATGAAAAAAAGACAAAGTGCTGTATTACAAATGAAAAGAGTTGAGTATTTTTAAGATTCAGTATTGTATCAGCTATTAATCTAATAAATTTGTGGGGGACCATGGTTAAAAAAAAAACAACTGAAATAATCTGTCTACTTCCAACCCTTTGTATGTATTTATTAATTTGGCATCGATTAAAACATAATCGATTAATGAACAATCAATAAAACAGACTTCGTACTATATCATAAATCAAATCATGGTGCTTACTCATAATAGTGAATTGAAGGAAAAAAATGTTTTATATAGTAAGAGATTTTAATCATCAATATTGTCCAGTATATAATACACAGTAATTGAGTCAGTGTGGACACGACGTATAATTGACGCGGCAAGGTGATAAACAATCCCCCGCAATCATTTCCTCCATTTAACCATTTTCTACAAATTAACTATTTTATTCAGGCCCTCAAAAGGGATTTTTGTTCTTTTTAATTTTACAGAACACTTACGTTAAGGTGAGTATTATTATTATTATTATTGTTATTATTATTATTATTATTATTATTATTATTATTTATTAATTTTTTATCATAGTGTGTTATCATTATTTCGACGTCCGAAGGCAACTAACTTTATGCGGCTATCACATTATCTTGCCTAAATTTATTATTTCCCAGGTATTATTAGATATTATTTTTTTTTAAATAAATTTTGCCTTCATTTTGCCACCACTATCACCACCTTGCCGTTTTTCTGAAATATTACACCAATTCTATCATTATGCCGTTTTCGACACTGCTGCATATTAATTAGTCTAATCCCTGATATATAATATGAACTTTGTTCATAACCGTACAAAAGAATCAAGGAAGCAACATTCATTAAAATAATGAAATAACAATTTTTCAACCGTAAAAAATTCAATTTGTTGGTTTTATTTTTTTTTTCCCCCTTGTTGTCGATTTTGCCCAACTAATATTTCTTCTCTCAAACTTTTTATAAATAAACTGAATTTTCCCCCACACAGATCCTTAAGTTATCCTCACATATTTTGTACAAATTACACTATTTAATTATACTAAATTTGCTCAATAAATATTCGATAAATATATATCGTTTCCATATATATATGTTTTTGGTTTTTAATTGAGTGGTATTACAGCGTCAATACCGATAAGTATTACACTATTATCGTCTTTTTTTATTGTTATATTCGTTTGCACTACGAAAAAACCCGAAGAATATAAAAAAAAAAAATCGATCCGTAGAAATACATCTTGTCATGTGACATTATGCTGTACTTTTCTCCATGCTAGGAAATTTCATTAGATTTCGCACCTCCTGTTGAAAAAGCTTTAATATGGACTATTAATAAGTTGTCGCATCATAATACATTAATTATAATTATCTATACTTATTGCCTTATTGTGTTTAGTCTAATGTAGTCAGTCGACTCCACGCGCAAAATAATACCGCGAGGCGTGGAAACTTTCACATTTGGCTTTTTATTTTTTTCACTTTAATCTTTGATCTAGAAATTTTCTATTTTTGCGATTTCTATAGTAATGCACTTTCGGTTCAAGGCAGCTCGAGACAATGTACGAGAAGCTCTTCCGGGTAACCCTGACGGACTCAAATTTTCAATTTCTCAGTGAGAAATGACTGTCACTTTTTACCTCGATTGAAAATACATCGTATTAATTTGCAGATGAAAAATGTTCTTTGTTCCTATAATCTATAGAATGGTACTGTCCCGGGCCACCCTGCAGATGCGACAAAAACAAGTGCATTTTACTTTAGTTATTTCTTATTCATATCTTTCTTTCGAGTCAAAATAATTGAGAGTTATTTTTTATGTGTTTTTTTTTTGTTTAATTTTTTAATTTTTTATGGAAATAACGTATCGTTTGTGCCTGTCAAATTGAGATTATCTCATATTCTAAATTCACTTAAGCCTACTACGAGTTCCCTTTATTCCCTTCTGAAAATATCAATAATGCGATGATTTCGATAATCACTGGGTCTGCTTGTTGAGTTGCATACATTGAATTTTTCACATCTCTATCATTCTTTTGATCTATATCATCTCACTATAACAGCCCATTGATATTAATTTCACTTTCCGAATTCCTCAACATTTATCGTTGCTTCATCATAAACACTGTTCAGTTTACAAACTAATTCTTAATTCATCACACGCGGCTAAAGGAACTTGTTAATCTTAGAATTATTCTCGCACAAACGGAATAATAAATCTAAAATAATGATTCTCAACAAAATATTTAATTCCAGAAAAATGTTAAACCCATTTTCTTATTAACATTGACCACAGAATCTTTCAAGCACTAATCTCCCACAAAATTTTACCATAAATATTTTTTCTTTATTCCTTTATCATTCCTGTTGCATGACACTTGAGTTATATTTCACCGCCTTGTGGTATTATATCGATCAATTAAGTAGTATAGTATTTATAAAGATGCTTTATAATTATTCAACAACTGCATTATTGATAGAAGCTTGTTTCTTTTAACATTATTACAGGCCAGCGAGTTTTTTCAATCAAGAAATAAGATAAAATACATTAATACAGATGCAAATGAGAATGAAATAAAAAAAAAAAATCACCTAGTATCTAACTCTCGCCTAATTTGTAAACTTTCCAACGAACATCCAACATAGCAGTCTGGGAAGGAATTGAAGTTGGCAAGAAGGATTTTTCCTCAACTTGTCACAAATCATTATGTTTTCTTCTTGTGTTCAATTACTGGGACAAAGACCTTCCAATCTTGGAAATAGACATTAATTCTTCTTGTCATTCATTGTATTACAACGAAATCGTTTCTCTAAAGTAGTGGCGGTAATAGGTGGTGGTGGTGGTAGTAGTCGTAATATCGATATTATTAGTAATAACAGTAGTAATTGTAGTAATAGTAAAAGTAGCAGCTGTAGTAATAGAACTAGTAGTATTTGTTATTAGTAATAATACTAACAGTAGTATTAATAATAATAGTAGTAATAGTAGCATTAGTTGCTCTAGTAATTTGGGATGTATAAATAATTGCAGTTGAATCAAGGATATAGTCATCTATCCTTTACGTTAATTAACATGTGCTTGAACCCGGGAGAGAGATAATAAAAAATTACAATCCTTCAGTTGTCGAACATCGTTTTTTGGTAACAAAGCGAGGGAAAACAAAGAAAAAAATAATAATCCTCATCTCTCTACCTGTCAAGCCATTTCTCAATGAAGTTTTTGAATCGCATATTTTTTTATCCCCTACTCTAAAATAAAATAAATGAAATATTCATGTATATTCATTGAATATGCGAATTTTCGTTGATATCCATGAATTAATCAACAGCTCACCATACTTGCTTTCATTTTCGTGGAGAAAAAAAAATCAGCAATTTTTTTATCTAGTATTGTAAGACAAACAGGGATTGAACCTAATTATGTTTACGGAGGATATTTTTTCCTAAGTAAAATGATAGAGACTTGGAAAAAGGAGTATTTGTATTGCCATTGAGTGAGGAGATAGGGATAAAATGAATATACGAAACTCAAATTGCTTCCATCGAAAGGAATAATCCAATATTTTCATTTCATGTTTTTTTTTTTTTTGATTCAACAATTTGCAAAATAAAATGTTTAATTCTTTTATATGTATGCATATCTTCCTTCGTGTTAAGCAAACTAAATCACCAAAAACTCTCGTTAAACTATATACACAATATATTAACAGCTACACCCTGAAGATTTGAAATTTCGAATCTTAAGATAGGAAATTCCGACAATTTTTTATCTTTGCTCTTTTTACAAAATCCTTATTTATGAAATAGATTAGAATTTGATGACTCTGCTTCTATTTTTCTCAACTCGGATAACAATTAAAAAAACAATAAAATGTTTAATAGAAAAAAAGCACCCGAAAATTGCAACGATATTTGATTCAATGATTTAATGTAGATAATTAAAATTTATCAGCATATCAATTGAATCAGAATTTTTCTTTTGCCAGAGGATTTTTCTTGAAACTCATATATTTTTATTTATTTATTTATTTATTTTTTTTCGTAAATATTCGCCTCTCCTGAGATTTCTTTGAAAGAAAAAAAATTCAAATGAATAAATTAAATTTCGCAATAAATCATCATCCCCACTCATTATGATTGATAATAGTATCAATACATAATTCATTCATACACATGTGCACACAGTATATTATGAAAATGTCACATCTATTCACAAAAATTCTTAATTGAAATTCACTCAACGTCTTATGCCAGAGAATTTTTTTCCATTTTTCACTCTCTTCCTTCACTTTAGTACCTACAACCATTAGTATATTCTGGTTTATCTTTACTATTGGTTCTACTCAAGAGTCTGTGGTGACCGATACGTAATTAATCTGAGCAAATATAGGCATAAAATATAGTCAATATTTTTAAAATTTTTATTATTAGCTCAATTCATTTGGCAAACTATATCTTTAAAAATTAAACTTTTAATGCGTAACATAACGTCCAATTATTGATATTACTAGTTTAAATTTTACAATGATGAACTCATGGATTGAATATCTCTATAGCAATCTTCTATGTAGAAAGTTAAGGCCCCGATGGATTATTTTTCTCACATTAAATGGATAGGTTTTCTGTTGTTTTTCTTCTTTTCTCTTTATCGAAAATTTCTTTTGTACACAGCATATGCACAACGGACCAAACCACTTGATATCACTCGAATAAATTACTTACTCATATACTGTTACTACAGACTGTAAATTGAAATGTTTGATTGAAAAACAATTGATTGAAAACAAAAAAACAAGGAAACAAACAATATGGTGGAACAAAACTTAACAAAACAAAAATAGTATTAACAAAAAATCTATCTGGATAACGTTGGAAATATAATCCAACCGGGCCTTAAGAGGGGATAAATGGAATTTAGTATAATTTGTTGGTTCAAATTTGCGAAATAAAGATTTTCAAAGAGTGATTGCCAGAAGTGTCAAGTGGAAAGACGAAGAAGAAATACGATACAATATATTTCAAGAAAGTAACTCTCTTATAATTAGGAAACTCTCATAGAGAGAGCTCCAAAGGGTGATCCCGCTGGCAAGGTCGCCTCTTGGTGACGCGCGCAACGAGCATCCATGGGTCACGGGGGTGATTTTGATCGACCATTCTTTTCTTGGAGTATCTGCTGTTGATTTTGTTGTTGCTGCTGGGGTTGAGTCTGATGATGATGATGGTGGTGATGATGATGCTGATGATGATGAGTATTTGGATCCTGATTGACAAGTTCATTGCCAATCAATGGCCCAGAGCCGCTTTTATCCATGTTGCTCGTGTGTACTGGATGAAAATATCTGTCTATAGATTTGATAAATTTAATAAATTTCATAGATTTATGATTTTTTCTTGAGTGATGAATGTATACTATTCGCCAATATTTTTATGGACAAACTTACCATCCTCTATTGAGGTGGAGGCTTCCCCGGGTGTACCGGCAATAATCGGGGCAATCATATTATAATCATCTTCGAGATTGATGAACGGTGCCGTGTTCCAACGGGGAGGAATACTTGTAACCGATCTCTGAGTTGCCACAGGCCTTGTCACTGATACAGGTGACGAGAAGAGCGAAAGATTGGTTGGTGATATCACACCGGACATTGAACTGATTGTTGGATAGGTGAATATTTGCTATTAGAAAATATGATAAATTAATTTATTTAAATTCAATGGATAATGAAACAATTTAATAAATAAATAAATAAATGATACCTGGCCAGGCTGAGAGTGAAAATGCGCAAAGGTATATTCGCGACTAGTGTGTGGTGCAGTAACGAGAATTCGAGCGGGGCTTTTTCTTCCAGTTGCATCCACACTACTTTGACAGCCAGGGCCAACAAGACCGACAGCAGCAGCAGCTGCTGCCGCCGCTGCCAATTGCTGATCTTGACTGGTGCTATTTAGATCAGCAGGATCTATCGGTGATGTGGACGAATTAGGTGGTGATGTTGAACCTGTTGCACTCAATTCACCGGTTGAGCGTATTATTGCCACTGGCCTTGCCATTGGTGCAGGCGGTGGTGGCGGTAACATTGAGCTGGGGTAATACTGTGAGAACTTTTGTACGCCGGAACGTTGACCAGTTAATTGTGCCTGGAAAATTCGCATACCAATCATTCAACCGACATTATTTCACCGGTCCCCCCACTCTGGCCATTTTATTATTTGACTATTCCACAGAAATCACAAGACTCAATAATACATTGTGTCATATTCAATGCACATATTCATATTTCATATTTCAAATTTCAAATTTCAAATTTCAACATTGAAATTTTCGAACAATTTCAAGAAATACTTTTTTCATCTATTACTTTGCCAGAGTGATTGGAGCACGGAATTATAAAGACTAGGAGATATTGTTACGGGGGGGAAACGGAAGCTACCTGGGGAAGTTGCTGAGTATTCTCAGCCTCTTGACAAACGAACGTAACAAAATCGGATAGTGTGTCGTGGCCATTCTCAGGATACTTGACGACCCCGCTCGAGACCGAGTGCTCAGGCTGGTAATAGGCGAGGCTGGCCATACCACCGCCCTGACTAGAACCACTAGCAAGACCCTCATGAGGTGAATGCAATCCTGAAACAAATCCCCCATTTGTTAGAATTCCTTCTATCTGCAGTCTTACTTCTCATTCCATTATTACAACAGGAAACCAACCAATTTCCTTATTGGGAAGAGAAAAAAAAAATACAATTTTTATATCATCACAACATTTGAGAAGTAGTTGGTTATTGTGAAGTTAAAAATTTATAGCGAAAATCCAATTGACATTGAAATATACGCAACACCATTTCGCAAAAGCGATTTTTCAATTATTATTTTCTTTTTTCAATTTCATTACTGTTTTGTCATAAAACATATATACGAAGCGTGAAGGCTGCATAACTGGTTTCGTTGGCTGTAAGGTACATGTATATGTCTATTACCGCAGCGCATTTTATATATGTGGATAGATGAAAGCAACTTAATATTCATTATTCTTCCAGTTCACAAGAAAATTATGAGAGATGTCATCGTATACATGTACGTATCACTGCCTATGGTAGATATATACATGTATCATATATATGGCATATAAAGATAGACCCATGAAAAAAGCCAAATTTATCAATTTGACAAAGAAATATACCGTGTAGCAATATAAATTTTAAGAAACAATAATAAAGGGTCTTTCCCTATATATATGTACACATTGTGCAACGACAAACATCAAACAGCAAGATAGATAATAATGATTAAATAACATCACATCAATGAACAGAACAATGGGGAGAAAAAGTTATGAAAGAAAACATCAATTCTTAATGAAAAACATCGACATCAACAATATAATTTAAACATGTGTATATAATTAAATACATGTAAATAAAAAAATAATTTGGCAGTTGGAATATTCCACACGTATATACATTATATACCACATAAATTAATGAATGAGTGAAAACAACATCAAACATCGCAACAACCCTCGTATTTAAATCACACATATTGAATCAACATATATATGTATAATGTGCATGTTTTTATAGCAATACATGGAACATATATACGTGAATTTCCTTTCAAATAAATTGAGAGTTTGGATTTTCAAGAAGGGTTAAATAGGTGAAAGAGAAAAGGTGAAGAAAATGTGAAATGTAAAGTGAATATTGAGTGTAACATTATGGAGCATTAACAAAATATCTTAATCCAAATTTCATGTCATATATATGTATTTTTATTTCAGTGCTTTTTTTTATACATATATATATTGAAGTTTGAATTTTCAATTAATATGACATCCAGCATACGACATACCCAGAGCATTGGCCGTGTACAGTGAGTGAGACATAATACGTAAATCTAATAATTATAATAAGAATGTTTCATGATAGTAGTATTAGTATTAGTATTAGTATTAGTATTAGTATTAGTATTAGTATTAGTATTAGTATTAGTATTAGTATTAGTATTAGTATTAGTATCAGTAGTAGTAGTAGTAGTAGTAGTAGTAGTAATAGTAGTAGTAGTAGTAGTAGTAGTAGTTGTAGTAGTTGTAGTAGTAGTAGTCGTAGTAGTAGTAGTAGTAGTAGTAGTAGTAGTAGTAGTAGTAGTAGTAGTAGTAGTACGTAGAAGGGAATAACAGCTTTGACTCTTATTTATTTGTTTCCTTCAAATCATTATTAATACCTCATACTTTTTTTAATGAAAGTGAATTGATGAAGCGGAAGAAGAAATAGAATATAATAAAAATCGTAAAAAATGGTAATCATAATTATAATCGTCATAACCATAATATAAAATAACAAAAAAAAATCGGCTTAATCGAGGAGCCGAAGCTGTTAAATCCAAGAATAGCTAAAATAATTATGGGAACAGGAGAGGAGATTAATTAATTGAAGGTCCAAACAAAACGGTGGATAATAGCGAGGAGTTATAAGGGTTTCAAAAAATTCATGTGATATCACTATCAGACAAAAGAAATACAGAGATACAAGACAGACAGACAGATCAGACAGCGACAGCTAGCTTACCGATTATACAGATGATAGGAGCTAATTGATGATTAATATTGGTTAATCAATTATTTGAACGTCTATTAGTATTTTCGATGTTTGCCTGTCCGCCGATCCATCTGCGTTGTCTTTTCTCCCATAATTCCAATTTCCATTCTGGATGAGTTTTTAGCCAGTAAAGGTGTGAAATTATTTATTTTTCAATCATTTCTTCCGTTTAAAACAGACAGATCTATCGGACAGGCAAAAAATATTTTTACATAATAATTAATCCTCCAATAAAATACGTCCATTTATTATTGGAAAGTTTTAAAAATTAGCAGGGGTCCGTTCATTGGTGCCTCAAATGCCATAAATGAATTATCTAATTTCGAAAAAACGATGCAAAAGATAGTGGGAAAATAAACAGATGTGATAGGTCATAGGTTTTATTATTTTCAGGTTCCTTGTAAATTAAACTCTGGCTTCTCCATTCAATTAACAAAAATAATTAAATTTCTGTATTCAATTCAATTGTTAATTTTTTTGTATTTCACCATCACCTTTACTATACTCTCTTCGTCGAAAAATTAAAAACAAACATACGATTTTCCGGTATATATTGTGCGCCACGCATAACTGCAATGATTTTCAGAGCAGATGAAACATATGGAGAAATAGACAGTGGAATCGCGTCAAACAATCGTGCATAGAGTTTAGCAGGCGGCTAATGTAACACATTCATCGATGTACATTACGGAATAAGAGCGATATTTACAGGGGGAAGGGGATGATGGCAAATCGTACTAATATTTTTTGCGAAACTTTTCACACCTCTTCGTGGTAAACGAGAATAAATATAACCCTCCCTTTTTTTCTACGTTTGGTAATTTCCACATACCCTTGAATTTTTACCTCCCTTTCTATCTGACATATGAAACATACAGGGGAAAGGAGAGACAAAGAGCGGAAGAGAGACAAAGACCGTAACAATAAAATCTCATTTGCGAAGATACCCAATAGCCATTTTTAAATTAGCTAAGAATTTCATTTTAATAATAAATAGGTTTTATTGTTAAGCAAATTTCTTCATCTTGCAATTCTATCGATATAGAACAATCTATTCAATTACGTTATCAAAAAACAATTAGTGAGCAATAAATTCTGGTGAGTTTGAATTATTTTATTATCCTTCGTAGAAGAGTACTATAAGCAATAAAATTTTGAGTAGGATAATAAAAAAGAAATTAATCAATAATGAAATTGCCCTTGGAAAATTCTGTCATCGTTCTTCATTATAATAACAAGCACTTCTGGATAATGTCCAGTGCACCACAAAACACTCAAATGAATATTTTTAAGAAGAGAAATATGCTTGTAATAATACTAACACCAATGACAACAGAAATAGATTTGACAGTAACAATGACAAGGGAATAATAATAATAATAATAATAATAATAATAATAATAATAATAATAATAAAAATACATTTACTCGTGAATGATGGCAATACGTACGCTTTCAACATACCCATACCCATAATACCCATAATATATTTCATATTGTTTATATATAAATATATATATCTATACATATAATGCATATATGTATAATTATATACAAATATATAGACAGCCGTGCGCACATACGTCTACGAAAAATACGTGTACATGTCGCATATAGGTAGATAGATAACATCATATTAACCATATCACAAATGTACCTTTTGGTAGACTTAGCGAGCTTCTCTCAATATTGCTCGGGCTCAGACTGAAACAGACGACGCGTAAATCCACGATTAGTTTCCAATTAATGTCTCCATCATGATTCTTAGAATCGGTGGTAAATCACGGCATGATGACATTCATTCCGGCTTGACAAAAAGTTTCTCAACTGTAGAGGAAGTCTGTATCCAATATCCAAAAATGCTGGTATTGTTTTCAACGTACGAGAATTTGACCATTTCACTTACGATGCCTAAGTCAGCTCAAAATGGGTTTATCGCACACTGGACATTTTATTTATTTATTTTTTTTTTTTTGTAGAAATAAACTTTCGCCGTCGATTATTACCATTTTTTTCTTTCATTTTTTTTTCTTCGATCGACCAATCCATGTTTCTTTCGTATCGAAAATTAAAATTTTATTAATAAATGGAGGAAAAAATCGTTCTAGTTAGTTGTATTATTTTTCAGACTTATACGAACATAATTGTAATGAGGCGGAAGGCAAAATAAGTCAAGAAGCACATAGTTAGTTGTTTGTACTTTCAATTTTTAATTTCTCAGCGTATGTTTCAATAACTTCATCATTTTTTCAACGATTAAGTTTTTTCACTTGATTCAATTGTTAATTTATCTATATTGTTTCAGAAATATTCTTGCAAGCACAAGTTATTGAAATATTTAGTTAAGTTTTTTTTTTTTTTTTTGTAAATTAGTAAAATTGTAACAGAACATACCAGCCTGAGAATGCGGTGAATCCATTGTACGGTGACCATCTTCGGGCCTTAGGACAGGTGAAAAACTCGGTGCACTCGATACGGAAACTGGGGGTTTATCAGTCTTGTCATTTCGTATTAATTGATGAACCGGGGGTGGACCTATAATCCATGGAATGATATTAAATATAGGGGGAATAGCATCAACCAATAAATTTGGTTTGGGTAAATTTGGCAAAATATTGTGAATATTGTACTACGCTTCAATAACCATGATTTAGAATGACATTCTCTTCATTTCATTTACTATTGGCGAGTTGTGTTGAATTTTTGTTGAATTTTTGTGTTGTTGCATGAATTATAAAACTCACTAAAGCTTGCCGCGGGCTGAGCATGATCCGCAGCGGAGGCTGCGGACGGAGGTGTGTAGCTGCTGCAGTAGTACGGCGGGTGCTCTATTTTGATCGCGTTTATTTGAGGCTGCATGTCGCTGAGGTCATGCAGTATGGACGCTGAAACCAGACGCATGCATTACGACGTATTATTTTATTCTTTGTTTAATTCTTCCCATCAAAAGTTTCTCCGAAAAAGTCACCCTACTTTTTATTATGTAAATCATTCACTATCATATTTTTCACCTTTGAAATTTAATTTTCCAGTAAATGCACCAATTATACAGTAAAATATCAATGTTTTAGAATTAAATATAATTATTTAGATATTCGAAGAATAAGGAATGCTTATATCAATCGATCATTAGTAGAAGGTTCACTCGCGGCTATTAACAACCATTCTTCTGCAAACCAATTTACTATTTAATTATTACATAGATAGCATCGATTTATTAGACGTAAAATGCAAATTAAAAGAATGCAAAAAACAAGCAGTATCTTTATTGTATATTTTATTAAACTCTGGAATTATTAAATCATAATGAATTGTGAACTTGAAATGATACTTGTGGGAAAGTATGACATTGCTTAAAAATACTTTTCAACATCGTTGGATGAATTTTGATTTTTTCAACCATTCATTTGCTCTGGGCGAATTCTCTTCAAATAATTTTGGATGCTTTCAAGAGTGTATATGCCTTACTGTTTACCTTTCGAAAGCATCCACAATGCTTAAAGTGTTTCAAGTTATCTATTCATCAATTTTTCAATATAATCTTTCATCTTTTCCTTTATTATACCATTTGAGATGATTTTAGTTTAATAAGAAAATCGCCGTACCTTTTGAAAGCATCCAAAGCTCCTTTGAGCTGAAGACACCGGTAGCTAGGATCGTATCGTTGCATACGACACCATTATACAGTTCGTGATACCCTCCACCTGGCAACAAACCCAACCAACGCTATATGTTAATTTCACTTATCATCCTCTCTAATAATTCTTTACCTGAAAATGTTCAAACACCAAAATTATCCACTGAATTGAGACATACCTTTCCGTCGTCGTTCCTCTTCTTTATTGGTATTGCAAATTCCATTAAGCACTTCTGCAATGAAAAGTAACAAAAAAAAAAGAAAAAAAAAATCAACAGAAAAATTGTTAGAACTCAGTCTGGTTTGCAATTTGCCCGTATACTTTTTCAATGGCTTCCCCCTTATTTATAAGAAAATGTACATTCTCGGTGAGTATATTTGTGACGGTTCCATCTTACGCAAACTAATATTGCGCAATATCCCACTGAAATACCAAATAGTAGCAACATCTAGAACCTTCTAAGGTATTTTGACATTACCAAAAAGACACAAGAACAAATTTCAAAAATAGAACCGTATTGAATTAATATTTCTTGGAGCTCAATTACTTTGCAGATTTTAATTAGGGTATCATTAGAGATAAAAATTAGTTGGGCAAGTATAGTAAGAAAGAAAATAAAGATTAATCAATTGTACAATTGAGTACCATAATTGTGTATAATTCCACCAGGTGAATTTCCGATCATGGACTGAATAATATTATAGATATTATAAGAATGATCACGAATTGAAATCAACGTAAGCGAGTAGCGAAGAGGGTTCTATTTATTTATAGAGATAGGTATATATATCTATATAACTCGTATTGTGCATGTCTAGAGAATGGCGTTAAGAGTATGCGTGTGGCAAATGAAAAATTTATCAACCTTAATACACCCTTTCCTTTACAGCTCTAATCATTCATTGATAATTTAATTATTTTTTTATTGCAAAAGTAAACATGATTGATTAACGGTGTTACTTTTTTCAGGGGTATAAACGTGGTCGACCTTTTTCCAAGCTAGATTTGCGTCATTTGAAGCGCAATATTTGCAAATTTATTTTTTATTCTATAATTGGGGAATAATTAACAGGAAGAAGAATATTGAAGACCTACCGTGACTCGTAATAAAGTTGGCGAGGTAGAGATCGAGTTCCCGGACGGAGACATTGATGTGATAGGGATTCACACATAGACCTGGTTGGGCACACTCGGCGGTCTTTTCTAAACGCTCACCATCTGTTGATTCTAGGGGTATTGCCTTGAACAGGATCACCATCACTAGATCCAATCTCCAAACCTATTTTCCAATGACATGGTGAGAAAAAAACAATGAATGATTATCATCAGGATATGAAATATTACAATGTACAATGTATGAATTTACCTTATCCGCTTGTCGCAAACAGTCGATGCGTCTCATTTTTCCCTTTTGATCAGGATTGCTTAATACACACATTGCCGGTCTTTTTCCTGTTATGCTCAGGACAAAGTCCTCTCTGTATTCTTGTGTTATATCTTTCCTCAATTTTCCCAAGAGCCGCGAGGCCCATTTCTGTTTTACTTCTAATTTTTCGTTCTGTAAAAAACATAAAAATAATATTTCAATTGAACAATGCAATGAGGAAATTAATTGCTTGTATAAGTGTAGATGAACGTATATATATGTGAAAAGTTTCCACTGAAAATTAAATGCACTGCACAAATCGTAATCTCTTTATTATTTCACCTCGTGTAAGTCACACGTGGAATAGGAAATATTTCAAGACCATCCTACATATCGAATTGAGCATTTGAATGCGGGGAATTTTGCATGTAGTTCTCGTCGATTCGTCGCACCCGCGATTACATTTGCCGTTCATGGGAGTGCCAGAGTTAAATGAAGGCAAAAGATAAGAGAGAAAAATAGAGGAAAAAGAGAAATCTGCATGTAACAGAAGAGGAAGAAAGAAAGAAAGAAAGAAAGAAAGAAAGAAAGAAAGAATGAAGGAAAGAAACAGAAGTCATGGCACAATCATGTATTCAATGCAGGCTGTCCTTCGTCAACGTAAATAAGTCGTGGTATACGTTGTAAAGTCTTAACGCGTTCTTCACTGCTCCTGAGTTTGCAAAAATGTATAGGAGAAAATCTCAGAATAAGTAATTATTTGCAAATCCACTTCTAGTCCTTTGATTTTAAGGGGTTTCAATCTATAATAATTCATCCAAGAAAATGTAAATATCATTTTTGTCAAATCGCTTGGGCGAAAGTATTAATTTAATGAGAAAGGCTAAAAGCTATTGGTACAGTATATTAATAGATTTCATTAGAGAGAGGAATTTATGAGAAAAAGTAGGATGATGGAAGTGGTTAAATTCAGGCCACCCCGTAAGTGCACACCGAATTGTAAGGTATATCGGTTGGTGCAGGGTTGGAGGGAGGATCTTTGTCCTTTTCTCCTTTTCTAGCATATATGTACATCCCGCGAGAGTTTATACGTACATGTATGTACACCATGTAGCTATAACATGTAACGGAGCGGTCTATCGATTTACTTTTTTCGGCGCAGGCCTCATTCCTCCGCTATTTCAATTTTTTTTTCCCCTCCGAGTAAAGCAAAAATAGGGAAAAAAAAAACTCGATTTAATTTCAATAAAAATATTTTCGATTAAGTGAATAATAAAGTAATAATAAATATAGTGAATTATATTCACATATAGTGACATCAAGTTAATGGAAAAAAAAAATCACATCTCAATTACACCAATGGAGGAATATTTTTTTTTATTCTCTGATTCTCTGATAGGGCAAATTTACTCATTTGTCAAATGAAAATTCGCAAAAGTAGGTAAAATATATTTATTAATTTGGCAACAGTCCCGAGGGTGCCTTTTCCCCTTCCTTTCTCTTTCCTCTTGACATTACTACATTATGACATGAACAAAAGCGACTTTCCGATTTCTTTATAGGCAATTCCGAGGTCTGCACAGAGTGCTGTAAATACCAAGGACCAAACGTGAAAAAAAGAGAGCAATAGAGAGAGAGACAGAGGCGCGTCTCAGCTTTACCCCCCGTCTCCAATTTCTTCTCATTCTCATGCTCATCCTTTCTCGACGTCTCCTTCCCTTTCTACCACTAGATAGGTACGATCGACCGTTCGACTGGCCATGCATTTTTCACCATGTTCCTCTCTCTACTACTAAATTTTTTTTTCCATCCAACTCTCCAACTTTTTTCATCGTACTTTTTATGCCCATTTTCTCCTATGTCTGAGCCCTCTAAATGTGCAGTGGAGAATGGCAATTGTTTGTGAAAAATTACGGCAAGAAGTTGGAGATATAAATTGCCGATATATTTTTTCCAGTAAATTGTCTCTTCAGACACTGCCTCATCTCCTATGTATTTTTCAATATTATATGGATATTATGATTATGAAAACTGACATACATGAAAATTGAAGGAACAACTTAAAATTCAATAAAATTAATTATTTCCCTCAATTAATACTTTGATTGCTTATATATGTTAATAATAATAAATAATAAAACGACACTATGTGTCTAGTTTCTCGAAGAATATGAAATCACGTATTTTAAGAAAAAAAATTTTTGCAATATGACACTGTTACTCATAACATGTTACTCCTTGAGATTACAAGTAATATATGAATGAATCTCTTTACAATAACATACTGAGACCAGTAGAATCAAGTATATAGGGAGGGATGAACAAAGATGAAAGATAGATAGAGCAGTTAGAGGGTGGGCAGCGGACAGGGTTGCTAGTTTGCATAAATTTAGGAAATACAGGGTAGAAAATCGATATCCGCATAGAGATTATAGATGTTGGTTGGTAGGCGCCGTGTAGCCGCAGCCTCCGTCGCGACGGCGTATACGCTATATGCGTGTGGCTGTATTCGCATCTATAGATGTATATGTCTGCCTGTCTGTCTGTCTGTTATCTACGATCGTCATCTACTAATTCATCATCTTGTCATTATTTTTGTGATAAAAAATTATGCTTTAGGGAAAATTAATCAAGAGAAATTGCAAAAATTGTCAATAAATCGGAGTTTTTTCTATAAATGGCTAAAAGAGCCACTTGGCTGGATACATTTATTATACTGACAATTATTCAAAAGAGGACTACTAGTCCCTTTTTCAATATAATTTAACATTTTGACAGCTTTTCCAGCCAGGGAAGGAAAATGTTTTTCAAATCATGATTTTTATCCTGACCATGTATAGGACCAGGTATAAGCCTTTGGCTTATGAAAGGCAAGTAATTTGAAAATATATTCTATCTGTGTAAAACAGAGATTTACGAGCCGAATATAAAATAAAGTAGATGAACCAAATACGTTGGGATGAGAGCTACTGGCCAAGCGATAGAACGTCACGAGGTCGTTCAGATCCAAAAATAGTTTGAAATCTTCTTATTTTATTATTATTATATATACATATATTTTGTTTTTTTTTTGTTTTTTCCATTTTTTGTCACTCGTTTGATTATTATATATTTTCTATATCTCTCTCTGTCTCTGTAGGGTAAAATAGCTAACTATTGATTATTGATCTTTTGTATAATTTTCATACCATTATTTTCATTAGGCATTATGTAGTGGCTAATTTTGCCGAGGCAAAAGCATTGAAATTGAGCGATAAAATAAGGGAAAATTAAATGATGTCATGTACATCAATGTAAAGCTTGTTTTTTCATATATGATGTTTTTATAATAAATAGTAAATATGAAAAACATTCGGTTACCTGTAGTTCTTCCTTACATTGACGTTCTTCTTCTAAACTCATTCGCTTCTCGTGTTTCTTATAGTAACGCCTTTTAGCTGCTTGTAAGTTGAACCACGTGTAAGAAAACGATTTCACGAATGGAAGAAGGGCCTCAATGAATGGATGGAACTCATCCTGCAACAAAAAATCCAACAAAATATTATCCTTGTGCAATTTTTCAGTTTTCATCTAGAAAATTACACAGACCCAGTAGTAATATTAATTACATAATTCTTATTGAGAGGAATAATTGCCTCATGGTTGAAAAAGCCCATTATTATTTTGGATAAGTAAATGTAGTGTAAATAGGTAATATCTCGATGTAGTATTCGACGTATTAGTTTTACACGAGTTACAGAACAAGTAGCGACAGCGACAGCGGAGGCGGCACCAGCAACAGCAACAGCAGCAGCAGCAGCAGCAGTTAGTAGTTTTGGTCTTAGGAAGTCAGACACGATATTAACGATGGATTTAATGGTGTTGTTATTGTGTTTTTTTTTTCGTTTTTTTAATAACAGCGAGCACTCATCGAGCCTCATCATATTTGCTCTAACCTCAGCTATTAAAGGCCATTGACAAGTCGATAATTGGAATGATATTTATCGTTTCTTTGCCCATCAATCTAATTCAACACTCGAAGAATGCACTTTTGATGATTGACCAATAAATATAGATATACATATACTATTATTATAGTTTAATTGAGAGATGAAATATTCATTATTAAGGTAGAGAGGGAATGATTATTGGAAGAATAAATTTTAGTATTAGCAGCAACAGCTATTATTATTGTTGATAGAAGAAATAAAAGGAAAAGGTGATGAAAAAATGTTCGAAACGAACCATCGAGTACTCGCAAGGACTGGGGCCGCTGTGGCACACAACCGTACGTCCGTTTCTATCTTCGTCTGGTTGTCAGAAACATGTATTCCCGAAATAACCGTAGCGCAGGTCACACCGGTACTCCTCCACCTCCTGGACGCAGGTTGATCGTGGCCTCATCTGCTCTTGTATTCACGCTTATTAATTCTCCCTTATTTACCCTCTACTATTCTCACACAACCTATCAAATGTAATTTTCAACAATCACAAACAATCACAATTCTTCACGTGGTCTCGCTTCTACTTTACTCTTATTTTATCTTTACTTAATACTTTTTAAAACCTCACTAAAAAACAACCTCTTAGATAAGTGAATAACTAATTACGACGTGGAGCGATTTAGTACAATTTTTTTTATTTCTTATATATGTATGTATTTTATTTGTGCGTTGATTGGTTTTAATATATCCACCTTGATGCAATAATCTTCCACTGAAAAACTTGTGAAGCACGAGCGAAGTTTAAAAACAGAGCGTCGAGCTGGGGAAAAAGGCTTGAAGGAAAATGCGTTCAAGATTCCCGAAAAATCTTTTTCCCTGTTCTGTCAATGATGATCAGATGTTTTTTTTATTCATTGCGAAAAGTAATATAAGGGGGTTGGCAAAGACGCAAAGATGGACAGAGAAAGAGAGTGAGAGAGAGAGTGGTAAGTTAAAAGGCCATGAGGTTGAGAGAGGAATTATCAAATATTTTAGTAATAATTATGGATAAATTACTATTGTAAAAGATAAAATAAAATGAGAGAGTAAAGAGAAAATGTAACGACGTATTAGACGACGTTGGTCGTCGCGGCGACACTGAGACGCCGGTGGATGGCCGCGCTCTTCTCACCAATCGAGACTACAGCGAAGTGAGATAGAGTCTGTATAAACGTACACAAACACAGTGAGCACCAGAAAGAGAAGGAAGAAAGCGCGCTTGCGGCGGCGGCCAGATAGAAGCGGCCAGGTACGGCACCCCCAAACACTGTTTATTAATAGTCCATGTCCTAGCTTACTAGATTTGCCCTCGAACCAAGAGCATCTACTCATACCGTCGCTTTCCTTCCTTCCCTCCATTCTTCCATTATTTTTACTATTTAATTATTTCCCCGCTTTTCAATAACATTATCATTTTTTTCTTCTTCTTCTTCTTCTATTTTTTTCATTATAGCATTTTAGATTGTAATTCCCATTATTTTATATTTCATATATAATATTTAATTTAATCAGTAAAGAGGTTGAAAAGTGGGAGGAAAGAAAAAGCTCAAGAAAGGAGATAAATTAAGAGAAATATAGGTGAGATTGGGGGGTAGGAAGGAAGAAGTAACGGCGACCACGCGGCTGCTGGCTCAAGCGATCGATAGCCAAACTCCTCTCCGTCTGGTGGAACATAGACCGCACACATACATCATTACAAATTACACTACAGCCATGAAATAACATAGAAAAGAGAAGGATGGCATAGAGGGTGGCATTTGCATTACTCTAGACTCTAAATCACTAGAGCTCACAACGACATGCACATCGATGCTGCTTGTATAACGATTGTCGGCAATTATGATTATTATTATGGTTAAATAACATAAAATAGATATTTGTAAGGGATTACCTGTCCTACGGAAGGGGCCTGTAGATAAGTAGAAACATCTGGTTCCACCATACAGCTCCTTAGGGTATCTGGGATAAACATGAGTGATGAAAACGGTCCAGGCTGAAGCCGGTGCGCGCTAATGCGCTAAACTCCAAACACAGTAATTACTTGTCATCCAAAAACTTGTAACAAATTAATTTCAATCCTCCAACTTTTTAAACGATTAATCCTCGATTGATTTTATACTCGTTATAAAATGTGCCAAAAAATATAGCTGATCAAGGTGAAAGCGAAATTCATAAGTTTTTAACTCTTTACAAAACCAATTGGCCAATTCCTCGTTACACCCTCTGTAATTGCTATCACTGCGGTATTGGATACAAGGGTTAGGGGTTGAAACACCGCGCCCAAAAACACGCATCCTCCTCACACTCTTGTTGAAAAAAAAAAAAGCCTATCTGCCCGAACTTTATTATTCGTTGCTCCCGTTTTCACCGAGAACGTCTGACAGATTTCTGATTATCCACAGTCTGAGCAACTGCTACTTTCGCCCCACCAATACCTAATATTTTTTTTCTATCCATTCATTTTCTTCCTCCCACTGAATTCACGAATACTATTTTTTCTCTCTTTCAGGCTTTTCACTCAGCCCTCCTTCGCCCTCCTCGCCATCCCTCTCCCTCTTCCATTCACTTGCATATAGAGTTGGCTCGTATCTGTTCATGTAGATGTAATGCAATGTCCCAGACTACGCCGACTCCAAAGCATCTGTCGTTGAGGCTTTTGCGTCGGCGTACTCTGCTATTTTCACTTTACTCACCACTCGATTTGTGTGACTATTACCAATTTTATAACTATTTCTTGCTTTTCCTAACTACTCCCCATGCGCAACAACATAGATTTCATTATGATTTTTTCTTTGTCTCTTTCAAACAAATTTGGCTAGTATATTTTGAGATTATGAAATTCTTAAAATAACAAACCAATTGAACTAGTTCTTTAATGAATATATTTCGTTAATTATCTGATTCTTAATACTATTCTTTATTCTCAATAGACTCCCTCAACCTACAATTTATGTAATACATTCTTACATTTTTCCTTGAATCGCGTCAACTCTGTTACAAATGCAAACCACTGTTGATTGATTCACCAGTTATTCTTATTATAGAGCGATAAATGCAGAAATTTATTTCACTGAATATTTCTCGAGATTTAATTGCTAAAGTATGAAATTCATCAAAACGAAAAATGAAAAACAACAATAATTCTTCAAGTGTGAAAATTACTGCAGAATTTTCTTGGAATTATTAGATGGGATTTTCTTCTTCTGCAGCTCTCCCTTCGACGATACAACCACTTGATAGTCTAAAACTTTCGTTGAAAAAAAAAAAAAATTATTGATCCATGAAAGAGAAAAAAAAATTGAATGAAATATCAATAGTAGTTATTTTTATAACATTCACCCTTTTTAAAAACTCTTCAGCACAAATGCGAGCTCTTGCATTCATTGATAATTTCATTTCACTGATTTCCCTATCAATTTCCTCCATAAAGTGAATAACGAAATCGACTATTTTGTGTTTATACATTTGTTCCACATGAATGTTTGTGATGAGAAAACTGATATCATATCCCTGAAAAAATTCCAAATATTAGCAATAAATAAAATAAAGTATCTGTTTCATTGGAAGGAAAATGGAAATAATATTTACCTTGATTGGTACTCGTCTCAAAATCATAAAATTTTCAGCTCGCATCATCATAAATCTTGTAAATTTGTGGCAAAGAATTTTCTCCAAATCGTCTACTTGCTTGACAGCAATACTTATTCTCATACTATTGATGCTTGACTCAATCAACACTTTTTCTTTATCATTTCTACTTATGACAACAGGAGTGAGTAATAACTCTTTACTTATTCTGACTTCAATTTCAGGTTTATTATGTTTTTCAACGACTTGCGATTGAAAATTCTCCATACACATAGCTGCTGTAAGTGTACGTCTTACTGCCGTAAGATAAGGCTTCAGAGTGCCCGACTGAAAAATAATTTACAGAATAAATTAGTTATAAAGAGTAATCCATAAGTGATAATTTCTACAATGATTAACAATTGACTTAATCAATTTATCCACTCAGGTGGGGCGTGAATAAATTTCATGAAAAAATAAATTTATAACCTATTGAATGACCCGGTGAAACCCCTTCACTTACCATTATCCTTATTTATTGGTTTATCTTTTGAAAATTTATGATTATTGCTGTTTAAAAATGTATTATGTAACGATTACTTTGTAAAATTTCCAAGTATTATTATTATGTATTGTATGAATGATAAACAAATTTGACATATCACAATGAATTGATCATTTATATAGGTATATAGTTAGTAGGGAAGAAGGGCTTGGTCAATTACTCACTGCGCTGTCCAAAGAGGATTGACTAAAGTAGAGGCTCAGTTCTGGGGGTTTGAGTGATCCCAGGGGCATCGTAGTACTGCACCCCAAGAGAGGGAGGGCACCACACGCAATTGACTATATTATATATTGATGATGAATAATAAAAAACACATGTAGAAGGAAAAATGGTAAATCAAGGACCGGCAGAAGTTTGAATATACCGCCATTGTAATATAAATAGATGAATTATAAGAAAATTCGATGCATTACTCAACAGGCACATATCCGACAGTAGGAAGAAGAAAGTTAGACAGTTGTAGTTGCAGTTGATAAAGCAGCAGGTAGGTTGACATTTAGATGGCGTTTGAAAGGCTATTTAAATGCTTGTAAAATACTTCATGAATATAATCTCCGCAAAAGAAGTTATTAAAAAAATATAATTTTTTTATTCAATTTGAGATATATTTATTTAAAATGTAGTTTGTACACTGAGTATAATTTGCCTTTGATTTGCTTTAAGAGGAGAACAATTTACCGTGTATTTTACAGTGTAGTTAAGCTGAGAGTTGCAGTTTTTCCATATTCATGAGAAATCAAGGTGCGTTTAAGTGAAGCAACGCCGGTGCGTTGATCAAAAGGTTGAAGATTTTGACGAAGCTCTTGGGACCCCTCAGGGCCCCTCAAGGCCCCTCAAAGCCCCTCTAAGCCCCTCTCAATCTCTCTATCCACCACCAAGTCGCACTTTTGTCTGCTTTATTTCGTCGATATTTCTATAGTTACGCGAGTCTTATGTTATGTTATGGCAAAATGGTCTTTTGTCAAATGGAATTTTTACATAGATGCAGAGTAAAATGTAATGTTTAGGGTATTTTCCTAGAGATTGAAGAAAAGAAGAGAATGAGAATAGGATAAAGAGGAGAGTAATTAGTGACAAACAAGCGTCTTGATTTTCTTGGGTGGATGAGGTTTTGAATCTCAGGAGCAATGCAAAAGCGAGAAGTGGGCGCCAACAGGAAGAGTGGTAGGTAATAGGTTGGGGGTGGCTGAAGGAGCGAATAATATAGGATGGAAGTTCCGGGATCGGCACAGATCAAAGCCCCTCGGGGTGACCCATACGAATACAGTTCTTACACCCCATCCCCACCAATTCTTATTACTGTCCTTGTCTCTTTGGCTCTCCCGCATTCGTTTATACTCCAGCTCGCTCAAGTGGTATCAACTTGAATTGAGAAAAGAATATAAAGAACCCATGCACACAGGGTCATGCGTAAAACGATGCCTCTACAAACAATCCCATCATTTGTTTAGGTATATAACAATCTACTCTTTTTTTTTCTCCCTTCATTTTATTTTTCTATTGATATCTCTATGTTTGTTGTAACTCTTTCTCTCTCCGATGCTAATTAAATAGGTAAATTAATGAGTAATTGAGATGGTTAGCCTTTGATTAGCCATTAGTATATGAGGCGTTTAGGGTGCCTAAAAGACCACATTGAAAGACATAGACATTTGACAATAGCCGACCCTCATCATTCATCTTGGTAAAGCTTTTTATTGTCTTTCCAGTATTGAGTATTACCTTCACGCCCATCAACTGCTGTTCCCGCACGAGTACAATCGTCATCACTTAATCCACCCCTTATAATGTATAGTCAGCACCTATATATAGCCAATACGCATCACACGATGCAAAAATGGATTTATTTTTCCATCATTCACTAAATCCTCTTATTAGCTCCTATAGCTCATTGCTTTGGATGAAATTTTCGTGGCGTTATATCGGATTTATATTATAGAATCTTTTCTTTGAATGTGCAGTCTTATCGTAATTCGCCAATCACGATATAACCACCACCAGTCTATAAATCGTGTTAAGATAGATTACAATACTTCAGTACTACAGTATACAAGGAGAATGGATAAAAAATTCGTTTACAAATGTGATGTGGCATTTAAGCGCTTTTTTACACGACAGGTATGTTCTCTTTTACATGCTTTTCACACAGTTGCTGGACGATTAAGCCGCGAATGGGCGAATGAAGAAGCGTTTTCTCTTTCCTTGCTTCTTCATCTCTTTATCTATATTTCTGCATTTATTCACCGCCCTCGATCCTTTACTGGCTCTCGTATTTTTTTTCTTTTTTCATTTTTTTCTTTTTTTTTCGACGACATTCAGCGTACTGAACGCTGAACGCTCCACGAAAGGCATCGTGTCCCGGGGGAGGGTTGGTTGGAGTTTTCAAGATGAAAAAAGGGGGTAGGAGAGGAGAGAAGAGTAAGAGTCCCTTGCGGGCCGGGCTCAGCCAACATGGCTTAAAATGGAGGCTGTGTGGCGCGAACAAACGATGACGGCGTCGCAGCCCTCAACGGGTACATGAGCGACGAAAGCTTCACTCCCTTGCCCAGGGGAATGCACTGGAGTGAGTGGTCGATGACATAATAGGAGCTCAACCAACGGTTATGTGAATATCCCGGCAATATCGAGACAATCTTATTTTTCACTATTTCCGCATTCACTCTTTAACTTTATATGTAGCTCGTATATTTAATTGAGCGAATAAACGACTGACGAAATGACGAGTGATTAGCTACATAAGATATATATATATATATATACGCATGTAATGATACAACAGTATGTGGATATGCAGCGGTATACATATATATGTATATATATAGTGGGGAAAGATAATTGTGCGTGTATATTCGCGCGAATGAAGCGAATCGGATCGAAATCATGGTTTCCGGGCGTTGAGGTTTTATGTGAGCATATGTCAATGTTTGCCTTTCAGCACACAAGTTTTACGCTTGCCTAGCTGCTCCCGGGCGAACTACATTCCCGTCCCCCTCAACCGCCTTTCGTTCATCCCCTTTATTTAGTCCACCTCGGCAATCCACCCCCTCAAATCCTCTTCTATTGCCCCCCTTCCTCCATTTTTCTATCTTCAAGCTTTAAACTTATAGCCAAACTTACTCCTGAAAGATTTATCCATTTTTCATTTTATTAACCATTATTATATACACGTGGAATTTTGAAATTAATCAAATGAAAAAAAAAAAAAAAAACCATAATTTCCACCCTATACGCAAATGCTTCAAAGCTGGTGAACGCTGTATCTTCCATTGTCAGATATTTGACAAGTGAATGTCATCTAAACTTGGAACATTTTTACGTCTGAACGGAAAAAATTTAATTCACTCGCTTCTGAAATGCATTTACGATAATACCCGAGTAAAGCCAAGGGATTACAAGGATTAAGGGTAGAACGTAAATCCCCAACCAATTTGTCTCTCACTCTCTATATCAGAGGAAAAAATCCGGATAACTCTCTTGTCGTTCTCTTTTTCTCTTGCCGCTAACTATTTTCTCAACTATACTCAAATGCTCTTTAACCGCAGCATTTTTGAATATCCATTGTGTATCGGTTGTTACCAATGTTTAGTCGATTGTCGAGGTCGTCACCCTTCTGGAAATGGAGCCTCTGCTCGGCTTTTACTTTGAAGCATATAGACTATATTAAAGAAATAATATAGTCTATAACAGCCAACCAGCCAAGAATCTTTACAAAGTAATATACGTAATGACTTTACATTACTTGTACGTTAAATTGTACTCAGTTTGAAATTCGAAAAGAATGAAGGGAGGATTTAAATTCTATAACTATAGCTTCCATCCATAATATATCTCAGCATTTTTTCGTTAATCAAGTGGAAAAATCCAATGAAATAAGCGAGGGGGAATTGATATATTTGCCAATAAAGCCTATTTAACCATCAGTGAAAATCAATAAGACAAATTTATAAAACAAACTATCGAAGACAGCATTGAAGAGAATTTGTATGACAAATTGAATAAATTGTGAAAAAAAAAAAATCATAGAGAATTATTGAGAAAGGCAAATCGGTTATGTTGTGATATTACAGCACAGTTACATAGTTTTGCCGCTTTGGTTGTAGCTGTCGTCCCTCATCATCATCGTTCTTAAGTATAGATTATGGGGTCGACCCCAATATATCCACTCACTCGATTCTTCAACTTTCTATTCCCAGTAGCAAAAACTTAAGCCGGGCTTAGCCGTTTATACATACGTTACCGGGGTTGTGATCCGTCGCCCTTACCCATTCAGCCTCCCCTTGTAAACATCCTATTTTGATAACACCTACGCTATACTTTCATCCATTACTTTTCCCTATTTTCTCACAATTATATTGTTACAATCAGCCATTTTTACATGAAATAAAACCATTGAATTGCTTGAATTGTCGGAATTCTTTGATTTTTCACCTTTGAAAAATTGCATTAATAAAATATTACTATACTCCCCAGTACATTGCAGATTGGCAGATAGACTTTTTCCGTTCTTGCGTGCTCTCTTTTTTTTTCACTTAAATAATGATGAAAAAGAAAGGGAAACTGTAAACAGAATAATCTCTCATTGTCGATTGTATAGAGAGAGCGCAATCCGGATGTGAATGATTGTCCACTTGGGCCCTATATAGGAATGTTAGAGAAAAAAAAAAATGACAAAAGAGCTCTCAGCTTTATACTATAAAGATTTCAAGTTGAATGATTATTGACGGATGAGTTAATCCAAAAATGTTTATATACTTGAAGAAAGTAAAGAATAATTATGTGCTCCGATGTTTTGATTAATGATCAGATAGGATAATTTGATAAGGAAATTGAGACATTAAATAATTTGTCGATGCGAGGGCGGGCTGATATGGTATATATAAAGTGATGAATGGACGAAGAGGGGTATAGGCACAGGATAGGGTGTGGCAACGGGGCCCTGGAATTGGCGAGATTTTCACTCTCTGGAAGCAATACAAGAGGGAGAATGGAGAGAAAAACAAGCGTGGCCTCTCTTCTCTCCTTGAGCACCGTCGGGTGTGTCACGCACCATGTATTGTTGTATTGTCGACTGCAATCTCGCTAAGCGTTTCAACGAGTCAACACCCTCCCTCTCCTCTCCCCC